GAGAGAGAGAGAGAGAGAGAGAGAGAGAGAGAGAGAGGGTTTGATAACTTGTCCCCTGGGTTTGTGTTTCATGATGTTTCTCTCTGGTTTCTTGAAGCTATCTGGTGATTGCTGTTCGTTGCAGCTGATTTTGTTGTTACTGTCTAAATTGGCGACAGGTGGAGCGTCTTAAGGCGGCATCGCGAAGTTGATGCAGTGGGGGTGGCAGTTAAAAGAGGGAGAACGGAAGTGGGCGTGGGCACCGCCACAAGCGGGAGCAAAGCCCGTAAGGTTGGGGTATCGAGGGAAAGAGAGAAGAAGATGAGGGGGACAGAGGGAAAAAAAGGAAGGGAAAGGGCAGAACGTGGAGGGGTACGAGTGGCATGAATAGAGGGCTGGGATGGGGAAGGGCAAGATAATGAAAAGAGAGGGCAGAGAGGGAAACCCGGGGGTGGAGGGGTGCGGGTTGTATGAATGTAGGGTTGGGCTTGGGTGTTTGTGAAAGAGCAGACAAGGAGGGAGCAGCAGCTAGAGAAGAGGGGGCTTGGGGGGGGGGGGGGGGAGGCCTAACTATTGCAATCTGTGTAAGGGTTTCTATCAGGGGTTAAGGGAGAAGAAAGGAGAGTTCAATTGACAAACGTGAAAAAGACAGGGAAGGAATTTGAGATGAGTAGGTGGGCGGGGGAGGCGAGAGGTCTTATCCCCTTTCGAAACTTGCGTTAGGGTTTGTGGTAGGGGTTAAGGGAGAGAGAAGGAGAGTTGAAAAGGGGAGAGAAAGCGTTTGAAGGAGGGGGGAGGGGGGAGGGGGGAGGAGGAAGGTCTTCAATTTCTGCAATCTGGTGTAAAGGGGTCTGCGAGGGGTTAAGGGAGCAAAGAAGAGATGGCGCGAGGCCTTGTTCTGGACAAGTCTCCCGAACTTGGGAGCAAGGCAGAAGTGGAGGCACTTTTGGGAACTTGGGATAATGTGGTGAAAGAGGTAGAGGGGGATACTGAACTCATAGCATCTTATACGGGAGGGTATGGCGGGGAAGGAATCGGAGGCCCTGGGCTGTCCCGATTGAACACCAAAATTCAAGACAGATTAACAGCCTTACGAGCCAGCATGAGAGAACTGGAGGTGCTTGCTGAGGAGCAAGACAGGTACGGATCTCTCAGATTGAGTGTGTTTGATAAGACCGTTGCATGGGATTTTCCTGTTATACGATATCCTAGTGCAACGTCGAACATTCCATCTCATCAGCCTGCAGGTGTGTTCACTGGCCAGCTTACGCGGTTTGAGCAGATCTGTGACAATTGGCGTGATTTCAAAACGGCAGCAACCATGCTTGTCCGCCGTTTGCTCTCGCGTGGTCATGCTCCGTCAACACTGG